GAATTTCGTGTGTGAATAAAACATTGCTTTTTGATGGAAAAAAACACGGTCCAAGATTCTTAGTGCTGTTTGGAGCTGTTCAAGCGAAATCAAAAGGATTGCGGTATGTAACAATGGATGAAACCTGGATCCACAACTACACCAGCTGAGTGGACAGCAAAGAGTGAAAGCACATGGAATTATCTTGAGAAAGGAAAAATCATCAATAGCAAATACGTTTGAAGGAAGAAGTTACGAAAAAACGATCACAAATGAAGTAGTAAAACGTACTCTTTCAAAAGACAATGCACCGTGTCACAAGTCGATCAAAACTATGGCAAAAATTCACGAATTGCACTTTGAATTGCTTCCACATCCCCAAACTTTGGCTTCAATGAAGAAGTATTTTCCGAAACTGAAGCGTATTTTGAGGCCAAAGATAAATCGTTCTACAAGAAAGGCATCAAAATGTTAGAGAAGCGTTCGAATGAATGTGTCACTCTTGAAGTAGACTATATTGATGAATAAAGTCGAATATTGCACAAAAGTTGTTGTTTTATTAGTCATCCTACGAACGTATTGAGTGAGGTGTTATATATGATTACTCTTTTTATTGAAATATACACATACGTCGAATATATTTAATATTTCACATATTTAATACGTATTGCAATGATGCACATAACATTTATTAATTTATGTATTTTAATGATGAATATAAATATAAAATAAACGCGTATATAAATGTTAATAATCATATTTAATTTTCCAAGTATTCCCATTAATTATATGATGCAATATTTATTTGCATATTTTCGGCGAATTTGTAACAAATACGTATTATTTTTGTAATTATAGATAAATATCATTTAAATATGCAGCAACAGCATGTTAAATTGTGTATTGATTTTAAAGCAAACCTCGTCATGTGTTCAATGGATAAATCAAAGTAATTCACGTACTTTATTAATTTGTTTCCCTTAAAAAAGTTGGACTAAACATTAAATGCAAAGGAATACGTATTTTTTATTATCTCATCCTGTATTTATATTCATTTTTTTCTATAAATAAGTAAGTCTCTTCGTGATATGTTGATTTGTTGACTTATATCTAACAAATACACAAAAATGAATAAATTGAATTATTAATTATTTTGTCACTTATGCAACCAAATTTTATTTGCATTGTTAATGGCACTTCCTGGCTCTTAACTATAACTTACACGTAGTATTTCTTGCTTGTTTTAACGAGTTGCTTTATTATTATTATAAAATAAGGAAAAACGGTAATAAAAAAATTATATGAGCCTCTTTTTTTTGTTGAGCAAAGTTAGCAAAGAAATTCTTTATTCTAAATGAAATGAAAGAGGATTTCATTTCAACAAGATTTTTAGAGGACTCGATTTTTATAAGGTTAAAAATTCTAACGGAGAAACTATAAGTTGATTACAAATATGCTGGATGCATTATGGAGAATGAACAAGAATAAAATATAGGAATATGATGAACACAAAATGTAGATAAGGAGTAAATTGTTATGTAATTTATATAGTTAGAAAATTTCCTGAATTGCATAAATAGTGGTTTTGACGTGTTGTAAAGAAATGTTGAGTCAATTTAAATCATTTTAAACTATGTCGTCGAAGCATTCATCTTTAAAATTTTATAATAAATCTAATTTTTAATTTTTAAAGTGGTTTAACTCCATTTGTGGTAAGAAAACACGTATTGTTCACTTAATAATAGCTATTATTATACTAGGAATGTAAATTTAACTCTTTTAGATACATTTAAGCTATATGACAAATACGTATCCTATACGTATCCTATACGTATATTTTTAATTTTATTGAAACGCAAACTCTAAAATATCTCGACAATATCTTTTATTATATGATATAAATAAAGCCCTACTCCTAATAATAGTTGTACACAACAAACTCCTTTTTGTAAATTCATTTGTTTTACGTCTATATCAATTATTGAATTGGTGCATACTTACCAGGCATAAATATTGTTTAAAAACGCCAATTATGCACCAACCCAATAATAAAAGATACTGCCGTGATTTTGATTGTTGAGATTTCTACTGCCACCGGCTACTACTACTTCACACTTGTTTTATTACGCATTATATTTTAGATAAAGAAAAATCATTGCTTATTTAAACTCATTTTACTTGAGTAAATTAAATTTTAACCTAACAAAAAAATAGTTAATGCAACAATATTATGTACACTTTTTTAGATACACATGCACTTTATAGTAATATTGTATACGCTATGAACATTTTATTAAGTAGACTTAATGTAACTGCGTAGGGAGTTTATTGATGAAGCTATCCGCTGCTAAGTAAATTAATACGTTTTATTGCACTTTAAATTATACGAGCCGTTCGGAAGGTTGTAATAAAGTTTCTTATTGACGATTTCCTAACTAAAGAAAGTGCGCTTATTACATTAGTCCCATACATCTTTCAAGATAAGCATGCTATATCCTTATCTTTTCATAAATAAATAAATAAATACAAGAAAGAGTGGCATTTTTCGATTTCTTTCAATATAAATGTTAAAATAATATGTCTTTAAGTAATAATGTACTTATTATTCTTGAGCATTAATTATCGCATTATATTCCTGATTGTAAAATATTTCAACAAATTATTTAATGTACGCAAATTATTATGTAATAAGAGAATAAAAAATCCATACAGAAATCGTGAAAAAAAATATTCAAAGTAATAAAAACAATGAATTAATGATAATTTTAATAAAATAAAGATATCCTTTTTTTTACATTTATAATCATAAATTTAACATTAATTTTAATATTTAGTTTAAAAATATTGACAAACGTTATTTAATTCGGGTGATGTTTTTAACAATATAAACCTAAAAACATCACCCAAATTAATTAACGTTTGCCAATATTTTTAAATTAATTCAAACGCAAACCTTTGTATGTATGCAAAAATAGACATATATCGCTTTAAAAAATAACGGCTCATATGATATAAATATTGTTAGACCTAACGACATTGTCGATTATAATTGTATATTGATTCAATAGATAATCCGGAAATTCAATTTGTGCTTTCAGAATGGAATTCGTATGTGTGTCGATGTTTGAGTGCAGATGAAAACCGATCTTATTTCCTAGGGTCACTGCAAATGAGAAAATAAAAAGTTTTCAAATTGAAAAATTATTATACCGTATATTGCGGCTGACACGTTACCTACCCTCAGGGCGCTTATCGTTGGAAATTGAAAAGAACAAGATATGCGATATGAAAATTTTCATGAATTTAAATAAGCAGTGGTTACTGTTGTTTTCCTTCCTTCCTTTAGGATTTCACCAATTGAACTTTTAACTGTCACAAATGAATGTTATTTGTTTTATTTTAAATGGTATATTTACTTCACAATTATTAAAGTACAAAATAATTATCTAGTATAAACATTGTTTATTTAAATACATTTTTTTTTGTATAATTAATTATTAAAGGCTGTTCGAAAAATGAAACCGTTTTATCCATAAGAATTAAAGTACTTCCTCGAAGCTCATACGACTAAAGTTGCATAAAATTGTATAAAAAAAGCAATGAGAATGAAGATAAACAATATTAATTTAACAATAAAATGAATGCAATAAATGTCTTCACTTTATCTGTTCGAAAATTTATTACCGAAGTAGAAGGTAAATTTATAAAATGTATTTGTAACAATAAAAATTCTTATGCATAAAAAAAATCTATATATAGTTTTATTGAATTTTTTTATTAGAAGGTGTTAATTGCTCTTTCCTGGACATTTTCTATAAAATTAAGATACAATAACAATGCGCGTGCCACCGCCCATGTAGGCATTTTCAAAAGGTGGTACAATGCGTGTACCACCGCCTCTTAAAGAGTTAAAATGTGCTCTAGGACATTCGTTCTTAACCTTTTAACAATAATTATAAATTTTGTTTTCGGAGTCATTTTTTCATTACCTAGTAGTTACATAAAATCAGTATTAAAATTTTGAGGGAGCCGCGAATGTATTTTAGGAATTTATCTCTTTAATGTGCGTTGATATACGCATTGTACCACCTTTTGAACATAAACACTTGATTTTATATCAATTTATTATTGATATACATCTCTTTGGACCTATTTCTACCCCTTTTCGGGTTTATAGGCCCCCGAATTTTTTGTTGCTTTTTGAGATTCGAACCAACGACCTTTCGTATCAGATTTTCGTTATACAGGCGACCAGGCGACTATAGCCACACGGTTGAATATTTTTTATTGTAGCTCAGAAAGCAACAACTTCAGAAACCTAACTAGCAAAATAGTAACAGAAATGGAACTGTAGTACAGTTACTGTATGCATTTAAATAAATGTCATTGGTGCTGTAGGCAACTTTTATATATATGAAGCAACGAAAACGTATGTTCATGTTATGGTTACGCTTTTAGAAGATTTAATAAATATTTTTTTTCCGATATTTTATGTAAATACTATTCTGTTTTGTCCTGTCCTGTTGCCGCCTTCATGCATGACGTTTTACAGAACTCGGTAAATATAATGCAGTGGTATGATCATTTATTACGACGAAAGTAATGCAGTATAAAATAGTTTGATTTGTGTGATGTATTTATTTTTATTATAATATACTTATTTGATTCAATTACTCTTAATAACGGATCATCACTTATGTAATACGTTAAATAAGTTTATACGTTGGATCATATGTTATTGAATAGGTAAAATGAACATAATTGAACTATACGCTTTATTTAACAAAAAGAAAAGTTACAAAAAAAAAACATTTTTTTACTATCATACGAAATTGTACCAATATGTAAAATTGTGTGAGGTACAACTTTTTGTATACATATAAAACTTCTTTTCCAATCTTTTCATTTACTCATAGAGACAATTTACACAAATATGACACGCATGCATGTTCGATGCTTTAACAAAAAAAAAAAACAAAAAATCAACAATCTGAGAAATCAACAAACAACGTTTTCAATTAATATAAACTCTTTGGCTGGGTACAATGGGCTGCTATAATGGTTATGTAATTAAATCTAGCTGTACAATTGCACTCAAAACAATAATATATATATAAAAAATATAAAATCACCTGACAAATTAATTGGGGGAGTAAAAATATTAATCTGACTAGGTTCGGATTGTAATCATATTCATGTAAACCGTCACGTCCAAGGAAATAAAAAACGGTTCCAATTAGACTCAATGGTAAAGTTATGAAATGGGTAAAAGAAGAGAATACGAGGAACAAAGAAGTTTACGACACTCTCACTAAGAATTATACTACCAAGTACTAACGATTTATCCAAATGCTCACTTTTCAAAAGAAAGATATATCAAACATTTAGAGAACTGATCTAAATATAATGGTATATATTTAACTATCCTTCGATCGCCTTACTCTTATCCTCCTCCTCTTCTATGGGACTGCTACTCTCTCCATTTTGCTGCTTTTCGATTTCTTTCTTGAAATTTTCAATATCCTCTTGGCTAAATAACAAACACAATGAAAACAACATAAGTATTTTAAGAATATCTCTTCAATTTTAAAACAATCGCCTTACCTGATTTGTACAAATAGAATACCGTTGATCAAATTCAACATATCCAAGACTGATCCCATCGAAGGTGGTTGAATCTGGATTGGTGGCAGCGAGGCCCCATTTTTACCGGTGTAAATTTCGTTCATCTTCTTCTGTAGCACAACCGCTTGATGGGTTAAATGCTTCAAACATTCAGATGACTCTTTAGTTTTTTCGTGGTTATCGCCCAGCTGCTGCTTGTAAATAGTGTATGCTTCCTTCTCGTGGATAAGGGCAGCCCTGAAATTTCCTATGCAGCTCTGAGTCCTGGCAACTAAATGGTAACTGACAGCTACTTTTAGCGACTTGGCACCGTAATATTTAATGTTTAATTCGAGAGCTTTTTCCAAGAACCGTAACGACAACTCATATTCCCCAACGGCGTGTAAAATTAAACTAATATTACTCTGTAAAAAATACAAAAACCTAATTATTACGTAATTTATTATGATCACTAAAAAGTTTTCTTCATTTTTAAGATTGAATATAAAATATTGTAAGAACAGTTAATTTAAAAAAAAATCGATACTAAGTTAAAATTTAAAATGGGGCCAATAAAAATTGTGAAATAAATAATAATTTACATATGTTCCAATATGTAAATGTTAACAGTAAATAACGCGTGTGTACTAAGATAAAGTAAAAAAGTTTTACTTACATCAAGTAAGGCAACTTCTGGGTGGTTCTCTCCACAAACGATTAAAGCCAAGTAGCGAGCTCTGTACAACAATTTCAATGCAGTACTGACTTGTCCATTGGCAAAACAATAAAGAGCCAGATGAGCCTATAATGTAGAATAAGAAAATGATAAGTACCGATTGAGTGACAGCATTTGCTAGATAAACGTACATATTCTGTAATTGTATAGGGGTGATCGATGCCATTCACGCGTTCCGACATCAGAACAGCCTTCTGCTGGTAAGCCATAGCCTCGGCATGGTCATTCATAATGTAATTCAGCCTGGCGATCATCCTCAAACACTGTGCAATCTCAGGATGCATGGCGCCGTAAACATTATTCAACAAATTTAACGCCTCGTTGATCAGCTCATATCCATCTTTCAAATATCCCGCTTGGATTTTGCTCTGACCGGTTGTGTAGAAATTGTAGGCATCGGTGGCTCTAGGATTGATGTGCTTAACGATCGGGAAAATATTCAAGATGTCCTCCTCGTAGAAAATTAACTTGTTCTTGGTCTCAAAACTGTAATCGCGCAGCAATATTTGTAGGCCTGTCTTCAGACAGAACGAACGCAACAGCGACACCTTCTGCAGGGAGTATGTTTCCATCGTAGAATCGATATCGTGCGACGACAGTTCAAAATCAAAATACGACTTCAATTCTTGTTTCAGCTGATTCCATAAGGATTTAGGTGTAAGACTGGCCCATTCGTTGCTGTCTACGCAAACCAATGGATTGCTTCGGCCCTTGCGCTTGTTCCTCTTACGGTTGTTCTTGTGCTAAAACGGACAATGTAAACATAGACGAACATGCTAAACCAAAACAAAATAGTTTTACCTCATCTACTCCCTGCATAGTGTTATTTATACTTCCTGAATATAAGAAACAATTCAAGAAGTGAGCTACAGCTACTGAAAGGTTCATCATTTCTGTGCCCTAAAAATAGAAAAATGAAATATATTAATAATTGTAATGTTCTCTCCATATCAATTAGGTATCAAATACAATTAATGTAACAAAAATTACCTGTAAATAAATAGTGAAAATATGTTTGGCAGATCTAAGGATAATTTCGGCAACTGCGATACTGTACAAATATTCCAGCTGCTTAACTTTTCCTAACAAATTGCAGACTTTGCCCAAATATCTGATGTTGATTCCTCTGTTATGCAAAGCCTCAGATAATGTGAATCCATCCATAGGAGCCGACGAGTGGTCCAGACAATCACGGATCTGTGAAATATAAACACTTTTAATTGAAGGCTACAGCATTCAATTTATAAATGAGACTTACGAAAGTAGGAATTTGTACTGTTAAAAGAAAATCTGCTGCCTCCTTTACGAGTTGCCTCTGTTTAGACAACGGTGGGTCAATTTCTTCGCAATGACGAATTCCAGGAGAGTACACGTCCGGATTGAATCTAATGTCGAATTCTGTGTCTTTCAAAGAACCTACGGCCATAGAAGCAGTTTTGACGATGTCCTTTGTACTTTCTTCGACTACGAAACAAACAATTAATAATAATAAATTCAATGATAGTCGCGGAAAATATAATTACGTTCAATCTTATTGCCATCAGTAATACTTTCAACCATCTTCTTAGCTTCCTCCGTCTCCAGTTGCTTTCCATTACTCTCTTCGCTCTTCTCCTTATTATCTTCAGTCACTTCAACTTTACTCTCAGTCTTTTCTTTGTCGCTGTTCTCCTTCTCTCCGTCCTCTTTGATCGCCTTGTCTTTGTTCTCTTCATTTTTACGCATATTCAATTGCTGCAAATGGTAAGCTGCATATTTGATAAACATCATGTAGCGTGAATCTACAAAACTGTCGATGAGTTCTTGTCTTAAACAACACAATTTATGTTTGTGTTCTATTGGGAAACCCAACATCTTTACTTCTTTGGACAACTCCTCATCCACTGTCAAAATAAAAATACATTATATATACATAACCATGTAGCAATTAGCAATTCTTACATTTTAAGAAATTCACATCTGGTGGGAACGTACGCAGAAGATCAAGAATATAGTGACGACCATCGTTACCAATAATACCTTTACATTCGACACTAGAGCAGAGTTCAACCGATTCATCCTTGTCATTTAAAACGTGGTGCGGAAGAATCTTTAGTTGCTGACCAGCTTTGTTTAACTGAAATAAATTAGTATAAATAATAAGACAAGAAAGAATATTGTGAATAATATCATACAAGGTCCAAGTATTTGGGATGTGTGAGAACAGTCTTTCCAAAATCAATGGATCCATAGACGACGGATTGCTCCTGTTCTCTTTCCAAAATACCTGGAATAATCGACTGTGCAGTGACTCTGTATCCTCTGTAATCAATGACTACTGTTCCTAAAGTATACAATCCTGGCAGATCCACTGCACTGTATACTCGTACACCTTGCAGGTCATTTCTCTACAAGAATGTTTGTGTTAGCAATCAGTTTATGTGTCGAGCATAATTAACATACTGGTGCTACAAAAGCTGCAGCATCTCCACCTAATTCCTTGTAGTGATCACGCACATCGAACCCAAGTGAGAAGAATATGTTGTTCCAAATGAACATTTGCATCTTGGCCTCCTCACCGGGGTTTATTGCCATGACGTTGCCATCGATAACAGCCATAGCACCACGAGTGGCGGCTGCCACGAAGTCGCTATGCACCTTGAAAATGGCACGCTCACGAAGAAGTCGCTCCGGTAATGTTTTCCTCGGAAGTTCGCGAGTAGTCTGTAGTTCTTCATTCCAATCGCGAGTTTGCCCGGGAATATGTTCCTCGTAACCAAGCTTAGATGAAAAAGCTAGTAAAAATAATATTTGATTTAATAATGGTCTCTTTTCAATAAATAATTAGTATCTCACTGTCTTCAGCTCTAATAGCGTCAACGGTATGGTCCATAGTTGGAGCAGTCCATGCGTATAATTGATACGGGGTGGCGACCCTCTCAAACGGATGCCGCTGATTCCTTTTCTTTTGTAAAATGGCAAAATGTCTTTTGAACAGCGGAGAGATTTGGTTCAACAGTTCAATCAAAGAATGGCACAGATGACTAGGGGATGATGGTTTCGGATTGAAATCTTCTTCGGAAGACCTGAAATTTAAAGATTAAATTGAGCAATCAACGAAATGTTCCCCAACGACGGTTCACTTACTGGTTGATATAAAAACCTCTCGAACAAGCGGATATGTGATAATGTTTATCTTCAAGAGTGACAACGTAAAGGTACATGAGATCGCCATGTATCTTGCGGTTACCAGGTGGTGGATTCCATGCGGACGTTGTCAATACTTTTACGCAGTGAGGAACCTTTTGGTCTTTGTTTTGAGGCTGGAGGGCACTCAATGGACGTTCCTTACCTTCCGGCATGATATAATCTGGCGGCGTGCAATCGACACTTTCTGGTCTCATTTTCTTCTTCTCTGCAATTATAATGTATAAATGTAACAATATATTTGCTTCAAAAGGTTAACAATAAGAAAGAAAGCATACTATTTTTTTCATCTCTGTTGAAGTTTTCATTAATAATAAATACAGATATTCTTTATATTCTAGGTTACTATTAGGAAACAAACAAATCGCATTTATTTCCAAACGAGTTTAAGTAAATGCAAAAATGTCGCAAAACGTGCGACTAAATTTAGTCTACAAAACAGTATAATCATTATTTATGATATAATGAAATAGAGCCATATTATTCAACTTACCTAAAATATCTCCTTGTGTGACAGTATTTAAGAAACTGAGAGAATTGCACTCTACTCCATTGTACGCGTCAGCCGGGTCCAAAGATTTCAGCAAATCTCTCACATGTCTGACATGAATCCTGGCCTCCCGCATCGTGTAGGGCTCTTCAACTACTTTGATGACTGATCCTTCTTTGAGTCCCTCAATGTTCTTGAGTTCTGCAAAGTTATCCAAAGTATTGCCATCCAACTGCAATGAAAAGCATGTCCTATGGCATGTATCCTCCCTGTCCATCAATAGTTGATGAATTTCTTGAACCAACTCCATACTAGAAACCTGGATATAAAGAACGACATAGACATAGATATCTAATAATTTAACATTTTATGAGTATATACGAACATTCGTAAGCTATCAAATATCAAGTACCTGACTTGAAAGTGCCAAAAAGTTCAATATTACGTGAAATACGTTACTTTAAATTCATTAAAGACATTTACAAACATCATACTTAAATGTGTGTAAGTTATTTAACAATTTGTTTACTTCAAAACGTATGGCGTCATGGAATAAATAAATACAAGTTGCAAAGATTTTAATAGTGGTATTAACTATTATATATAAACATAAAAACTCATTTCCAATATTTTTAGTGCAGTCATTTGTTAAGCAAAACAATACTCCGTTTGTAAGCTTATTAATTTGAGTAATAAATACTCACTGATTGTTGATTATATCATTTTTCCGTAATTGTTTTTTAGGTTTCAGATATTGATATTTATTTACTTATGCAACTAGCACAAGTTATTAAATATAATCATCCATTTGACAATGAGTAAGTATATTTACTCAATTGAAATATAAGTCCTTAACCCTTCGCGACTATTTTTTTTTTAATTTTGAGACAACCTATTTTCAGTGGGTCTGTCAATAACACATGTATACAGAATCCGAATTTCTATTTCGTGGAAGAGCACGTGGTGTCTATAGTGTTAAAACAGTAGAACACATGCGAAGTTCCAAATAGTAAGAGATGTTAATGTTTCGTGAAACATATTTTGTAACTTAGAATATACCTGAATATCGAATGGCTCGGCACCGGGACTAACGATTTTCACAGAAAAACCAATATCCTGGATAAACACGACTTCGTGCTTGTTTTTTCCTTCGCCTTCGCCATCTCCTTCGGTGCTCTCGTCCTTCTCCTTTTCTTCAGCATCATTAGAAACCTTGTTTTCTGATAAGGTAAAACAATGAAATATGTATAAAATATAAAGTGCTGATTTTTAACCTTTTTCGTTTTCCTGATGTCCATTCATTTTAGTTTCTGTCTGTTGCTTAATGTCTGCAATATAATAGTAATTAATTTATTATTATAAAATAATGAAGTTAATGTTTTTTTAATTTCAGTGTTGTTTGTAGTAATTACTATTGGCATCAAATGTAATTTAAATTGTAGCTGAAGACAACTATGAATATAAGATTTCTCAATCAAGAATAATGAAAGCAAGTAAATAGTATAAGAGAATTAAATGAAATTAGATAGTAGTGTGTTAGCTGATAATATGCTCTACTCAACTGACTTAATATGATACATCCTATAAGAATTTACATAATATTCAAATAGAGGTCTAAGGTTCAAAGATAATGTTTGTAATTGGAAAAAGTCGGCTGCAGCAGCGGTAGCGGCCGGCCGATTAAGGATTTTGGGGAGAAGGAAGAAAAAGGGAAAAGGTCCACGCCCAGAAGGTAAAAATAAACGGCAAAGGGAATGGCTGGACGATGCTGAGAGTAAATTTAAATCGGGTATACATTTCGGCATTTCAATTGCAGGTTATTCCCGTTCCCCGCTGATGATGCGGGGTGTTACATAATGCAAGGTCGGCGGCGGTCGGACGGTCTGTAGAAAAAGCGCCAGGCCCCACCGAAAGGGCCGCCTTGTCCTTGCCGCTCCGTACAGCTTCATTTTATTCCTTTTTCACACGAATCCTCTCGTAAAACAGAATAGGGATAAGGAGGAACAGGAAGGAACTGAATTAAGGAGACTAGAGCGGCTTTGAAAGATTGCTATTGGCTCCCTCCGAACTGACCTGCATCCTGATCGGCCTTCTTAATGTCGTCCTTATCATCACCGACCAAATTCCTCGATTCGCCTCTCGTCTCCTGCTCGCAATTTTTCGATCCCAATGCCATTTCTGCCTGTCTACGGTGGTGCAAATCTTATCCCCACGTCCAATCTACAGCAACTCGAAATGCGACTGCCGCACGTCCAACATAAACCGCTCAACGACGCCGATTCGAACTTCTCCGACTATTGCACACAACACACCTCCAACAATAATAGCCCTTCAGTATTTTGTGTTTTATCGAAGTTTACATTCGGCCCGCGATCATTTTGTTTAGCACGTGCTCAGCTATGCTTCCCCTTCCGCGATTCCAATAAGAAGATTACTGAAGATTACTTAGACAATGCGACCAACATTGAAAATTTTATACGTTCAATTCAAATTTCTCGATTCCCGTCACATATATATATATAGGTAACTTATTAGGACATTACTTGACTTGTGTAATTTATTGCATTCTTTTGTACAAAACCTATTTTTTCAACATTTCTTATTCTATAAATGAGTATAGGCAAATTTAAGTACATGAAAGTGGAGTTACTTGCATCTAACAAGCATTTGACATTTTTGTTATGTTGGCAGTATTTTCTAATCTTTTTGAAAAGTAAATATTAAAAAAAATATAACGCCGGGTTTGTGTGATAGGTTCAAAAGTTAAGAAAAGTATGTTACGGAAATCACACTTAATTGACAATTATTATTCATTGTCTTAATCAATATGGCAAATATAATCGCTTGATACTTTTTTTGAATGCTATTTTGATTAATTGTAAATCAGAGACGGGTCTATATCGCAAGCCCGACAATCGAAAGACCGTCTATTGAAAGCCCGACGTTCGAAATCCGGAGTGTATCGAAATCTCGACGTTCGAAATCCCGACGTTCGAAATTCCGACTACCATAATCCCGACAATCAAAATCCCGACTGTATTCGGATACATTTTTTTTGTTGTAAGGTCGAAAATGCTAAGTTAAAGATAGAAAGCCACCCAAAAGTTTTCTATTTTTTCTTAGGTCTTAGAGTATCGTCCTTTATTTTTTTTTCTTTTTTTCTAAAAAATAAAACAAATATACATTTTTATTAACTAAACAAGATCTATGAAAATAGGTAATTATTAAAAAAAATATTGTCTAAAACAGAGAAATTTATTCAAAAATATGCAAGAGTTCAAGAAATGGGAAAACGACGATTAAACACGTTTTGTAATTTTAACTCTTTGAAAGGCCAGAAATTCCTAAATTTTTAGAACCAAGTTGGGCCAGAGAAAATAAAAAAAATGATATTCATAAAAAATCTATGCATTGTTTTAATTAATTTGCTGATTAGAAGGTGGTAATTCCTCTTTCCTGGACATTTTCATCAAAGAGTTAAATTCAAAAAATAATTGAAAATCCTTTAATTGTAAAATTGTCTAAGAAGTGCGACGTAAGAGTATAAGAATCGTACAATCTGGAGAACAAATTTAAATATTAAAAATATATTGATATTCGTAGTCCTAAATACTCACAGTGATCGCAATAGCATTATACATAGGACTGAATGGTCCCAACGTTATATGTAAGGCCTTCTGCGATCGCATCATGATAATTAACAAAGTTTTCTGAGTATCCACTGAAAACTCGTAGAACTAGCTCTCCCACACCGCCATGGATAAATGTTGACTCTAAACATTACATTTAATGACATGTAGTATATTTGAAATTTTATAAATTAAATTATTTTAAAAAGTAATAACTTTATACTGTTAATACTATAAAGTCGGAATTTATTTATTCTTTAAATTAATAACGGTCTAAATCAGGACTAGGGAACGTGGTGCCCGCGAAGAAATTTTAAATCTTTGAAGTGCCCACCAATTAAGGAAATATCTAAATTAAAAATTTAATCAGCAAACAGTTGTAGTTGTCAATCCACTACTTATAACAATTTTTTGGAAATCATTTTTAATAGATCGGTTCCGTGTTTGGAACTGTGTAGCAGCGAATCCCTTCTTAGATTGGCGATTTTTTTTTAAGAATCTTGATTTGCGCAATGCCGTAGACGAAGAAGGCCCAAAAGAGAATATTGATTATGCCAGTAAAGCATCCACCTACGTTGCAAGCAATTATCTGAAATCCAAGCGATACATGGTAATATTTGTAACGGTCGATGGGAAACCAAGATTTAAAGGGTGACGGTCTCTCTGGTGAGTTGGAGAACATGTGAATGAAAGGATAGATATAGAAAAATTGTACTGTCAGAAAGACGATAAACATAAAACCGTTGTTCAGCAAGTGGTTCAATTTGGCAGATTTATGGAAAATATTTTTTGTTTCGTCGTCACCGCCTTCTAATATTATGTGTTCCGTTATCCTGATCTGCTGCACAATCTTTCTTAATTGTTGCTGTACATTACCACCAACAATTTTACAATGGTTACGGTGTACAGCAACGTAACCGTTAAGTTGTTCACGATTTCGAATAGACCGGCGTCCAGATTTTGAAATAGGTCTATGTACTCGGATAAGAGAAACATCGTGAAGTAGATACAAAGTATCAGCGAGTATATTATATGCACAGCATGCAATGCTTTATTGTGCTTAAAGAATGAAGGCCACAGGCCTCCGATGGCGAGCCAGATGATGTTGTATTTCAAGTAGCAATCCTTCGCCATCTCGTTACTAATTCCCCGGATTCGGTGCATTCGTTATTTATATATTATAGATGTCGTGCAATTGTCTTGAATATTTAAGCAAATTTTTATGTAAACTTTCGATGGGCGTTTTATTTTAACTGTTAAGAAAGTGCTTCAATAAATTAAAATACACTATATACTTCTAAGAATTTCTAAACTGTTTCGATGGATATCTATCATTATATAATACCACTATAATAAAATCTTTTTCAAGCTCAAATTTTCTACTTGTTTGTTATGTAGCAAACAACTGTAACGAGAGTATTTTTACGTCTTTTTTATCGTCCCTTTTATTCACTACTATTCTATAATAAAAACATTCAGAAAATGATCTGGCGGTTAACAATATTTTAATTAGACATCGCCCATTGGCGATTATCTTTTAGTTATTGGTTATTTGTTAAATCTCAAGGGTAGATTCAGTGGATTGTGTTGCTTCAGTCGCTGTGTTGTTAGGCTATTGTCCAGAAAATTGACAGCTAGTACGTTTGTATGTCTGGCTAGTCTATTTTAGCATCGGCTACTGTTTTTCGTAATTGTTTCCTCTGCTGTTTCCATTTGAAGGTCCCCATAAATTCTCCTGTTCGTAATATACCATGGAGCACCAATGATCCTCAATAGGGTCTTCGACTGGAATCGAAGCATGGTCGCAATAGTAGATCTACTGCTGACTCCCCATAGCTGTATTCCGTATGTCCAGACAGGTTTTAAAATTACTTTATAGATCAGCAACTTGTTTTCTTTCGAAATTGGCGAGTCTTCCCGTAATAGTCTGTAGAGTTTCCTGAAATTAATTTCGAGTTATTCTCTTTTTGCTTGGATGTGATCCTTCCAGGTCAATCTTCTATCCAGATGCATACCCAGATATTTAACTTTATTAGCCGGAATTATTTTTTCCGTTAAGCGTCACTGGTGGTCAGGAGTCCTTTCTCATGATGAAGGAGACATGTACTGATTTCGATTCATTGACCTTCATGCTCCACTTTTGTAGCCATTCCTGTATTAGGTTCAGGTTTACTTGCAGGTGATGTGATGCAACTGCTGAGTCTGCATCAGATGATAATATTGCAGTATCATCAGCAAACGTTGCAGCTGTTGTTTTGTCCATTAAGGGCATATCTGCGTTACATTATATATACAGAATAGGTCATAGCACGCTACCTTGCGGTACACCTGACATCATTGGATACAATGGTAAAATCTTCTTTAATTTATAGTACAGTCGCGTGTGCTACACTTTGTCACATGCCTGCGATACACCTAAAAATGCGACTAAGCAATAGCGCTTCTCTTCCAGGTCCTGGCATATTATATCTACCATTTTATTAACTTGCTCGATGGTACCGTGTTGACAATGAAATCCAAATTGGTCATTTGGTATTTGCTCATTGTTGTTTATGACTATTTTCAGCCTATTCATTAATAATTTATCAAACACTTTTGATATTATTGGAAGTAGACTTATATGTCTATAAGATTTTAGGATGATTTGAGCTAATTTCCATTGAGGGGGAAAATGTCCAGTTCTTAGGATTGAATATATTTGGGAAGATAATTGTCAGGAAAATTATACCCTTCCTTGGTATCTTTTAAGATTTTCACTCTGATTAGATCGTATCCAGGAGTATTTTTTGGTATCTATTAATGAGTGAGAATCGCCGTTCATTTTAATCATTTTCTTGATTAACATGGGACAATTTTTACGTGTAAAAACGATTTTTTGCTTAGCACAGTAATTTCGTGGAATGTAGATTACACGGATACATTTTTTTTGTCGTGAGGTGAAAAACGCTAAGTTAAGGATAATAGAAAGCCACCCAAAAGTTTTCTAATTTTTCTTTGAGTAGACCGCGTAATATCGATTCAACTTTAATCGGGAAAGCGCTAAGCGTGGTCTTACAGTATCATCCTTAATTTTTCCTTTTTTTTTCTAAAAAATAAAAGAGATATTCATATTTATTAACAAAACAAGATCTATGAAAATAGGTAATTATTAAAAATATATTGTTTAATATAGAGAAATTTATTAAAAAATACGCTGTAGTCCATGAAATGTGAAAACGACGATTAACACGTTTTGTAATTTTATCTCTTTGAAAGGCCAGAAATTCCTAAATTTTAAAGTGGGTCCAGACAAAAAAAAAATTAAAATTTATTTGTGACAATAAAATTTGATATGAACAATAAAAATCTATGTATTATTTTAATGGTGGTAATTCCTCTTTCCTGGACATTTTCTATAAAATAAATACAGTGGTGCCTCGCATAACGAACGCCTCGCACAGCGAACGCTGCACACAACGAACTTCCTTTTCGTTCATTTCACGATTCATACAACGAACTTCGCTTCAACAACGAACTTCGCTTCACACAACGAACTTCGCTTCACACAACGAAGTCGCCCACTTCACACGATCACTGCCGATTTATTGCATCCTTCCGCGCAGGCAGTCGTTAGTCACTGAGCAGTAACTTAACTTACGCACGTGTCGCAGCAATTTCTTAAAATTAAAAAATGTGTGTTTTTTTCATTATGTTTTTAGATGTATCTAAATAAAAATAATAACAAAAAATTTATCTTTTTTTTATGTCATCTTACCATATTTTATGCTACAGAACGAATTATTTTTTTTAACATGTATTGTTATGTTTCACATAACGAACTTTTCGCATAACGAACTTGCTCCTGGAACGAATTAAGTTCGTTGTGTGAGGCACCACTGTATACAATTAAAAAGGTCCTACAATGCGTGTACTATAGCCCCTCAAAGAGTTAAACTAAAAAAATAATTGAAAATCCTTTAATTGTAAAATTGTCTAAGAAGTGCGACGTAAGAGTATGAGAATCGTACAATCTGGAGAAAAAAATTAAATATTAAGTAATATATTGATATTCGTAGTTCTAAATACTCACAGTGATCGCAATAGCATTAGACATAGGATTGAATGGTCCCAACGTTATATGTAAGGGCTTCTGCGATCGCATCATGATAATTAACAAAGTTTTCTGAGTATCCACTGAAAACTCGTAGAACTCGCTCTCCCACACCGCCATGGATAAATGTTGACTCTAAAAAGCAAAATGTGTATTATCGTGTAACGAGACCTTCATATTTAAATAACATTACATTTAATGACATGTAATATATTTGAAATTTTATAAATTAAATTAAAAAAGTAATAACATTTTAATTTTAAGTCATTTTATTGCCGGAATTTATTTATTTATTTCATAACGGTCTAAATCAGGGGTCGGCAACTTAGTGCCCACGAAGCAATTTTAAAGTGTCACACATAACATTTTTGGATGTCAGTCCACACCTTTAAAACATTTTTTTTAAGTAATTTTTAATAGATTAATTTAGATTTTAAATATATTCCAAGTAATTATAAATTAAATATTGAAATCTAATTTCATTATAATTTAGAATCATAATTTTGAATTAATGTTATATGTTAAAAAATAAATGTATAACACTTTGTATTTACGTAGGAGTATATATGCAATAATTATATTAATTATTCAATTACCAGGTATGTAAATATGAAACCGAATTTTTGTTTATTGTATGATTTGATATTCTGGTCGTTTTTCACGCAAAGTTTGCTTAAAGTCGAACATTTGTTCAGTATTAACGGTTTCGCCAGGTTTTAGCAGCTCATAATAGCAAATCACTATCTTAAAACTTTTTTGGTGGTCTTTATAAAGCACTATATACAATTATTAACGTGAAATAAATACCTCAATAATGATTTCATTGGCGTACCAATAGAAAATAAACATTTGCAGCATAACAACGAATAAATATTCCAAGGTGGTAATCTGCGAAACACTGAATCCACCCTGAAACGGAAAGTGATCACCGGTAGAAAATACAAATAGATTAAAATATAAAACTTACAATGATCATTTGAAATCCAATACAACCGAATTGCAGGGAACAGATAAAAAAATCAAGTAACATTAAGATGTTGACGGATGCATTCACATCCTTAAAATATCTAAAATAAAATATTATGGATGTATGTTTTTAATGGTTGTATATGTAATATACTTGATGATGATCTGATGTAGGCGGATGCATTTTATGACCAAGCATTTCACGCTTGAATCCAGATCGGTTCCGTGTTTGGAACTGTATTGCAGCGAATCCCTTCTCAGATTGGCGATTTTTGAGTGAAGAATCTTGATTTGCGCAATACCGTAGATGAAGAAGGCCCAAAAGAGAATATCGGTTGTGCCAGTAAAGCATCCACCTACGTTGCCAGCCATAATCTGCAATCCAAGTGATACATGGTAATATTTGTAACGGTCGAAGGGAAACCAAGATTTAAAGGGCAACGGTCTCTCTGGTGAGTTGGAGAACATGTGAACGAAAGGATATATATAGAACAGTTCTACTGTCAGAAAGTCGAGAAACATAAAACCGTTGTTCAGCAAGTGGTTCAATTTGGCAGCTTTATAGAAAATATTCTTTGCTTCCTCGTCATCGCCTTCTAATATTATGTGTTCCGTTATCCTGATCTGCTGCACAATCTTTCTTATTTTGTTGCTGTACATTACCACCAACAATTTTACCATGGTCACGGTGTATAGCAACGTGACTGTTAAGTTGTTCACGATTTCGAATAGACCGGCGTCCAGATTTTGAAATAGGTCTATGTACTCGGATAAGAGAAACATCGTGAAGTAGATACAAAGTATCAGCGAGTATATTATATGCACAGCATGCAATGCTTTATTGTGCTTAAAGAATGAAGGCCACAGGCCTCCGAAGGCGAGCCAGATGATGTTGTATTTCAAGTAGCAATCCTTCGCCATCTCGTTACTAATTCCCCGGATTCGGTGCATTCGTTATTTATATATTATAGATGTCGTGCAATTGTCTTGAATATTTAAGCAAATTTTTATGTAAACTTTCGATGGGCGTTTTATTGTAACTGTTAAGAAAGTGCTTCAATAAATTAATATACACTCGATACTTCTAAGAATTTCTAAACTGTTTCGATGGATACCTATCATTATATAATACCACTATATTAAAATCCTTTTCAAGCTCATCTTTTCTACTTGTTTGTTTTGTAACAAACAACTGTAATTTATAATCTCAAAAACTAGGTATTCATATACATTGTCATACCTCGATTAATGTTGACTCTGACAACGAGAATTTGATTTAACGAATTCCGCAATTTAACATAACGAACTTCGCATTTAACATTAAAATATATTTACCTTCATTAATCAGTTTTGTTCTGAAACGGTATTATCAAAAAAAAAGTTTTCACCTCTCAAAACGAAGTTTCGCTTAGGAATGTAATTTTGTGGATACAATTTATACAAGAATTTATACTGTAAGTACACGTTGAAATAAAAATTTAAAGACATACATAATTGTGAGAAAAAAACATCAATTTTGTTGCAAGAAAATAAATTTAGTAAGTAAAATAAACACACAGTGAAAACTATTTTTTTAACATATTATTTTTTACAAATTCATATGACTTATATATTATAATTAATATATTAAATATTCAAATAAAAATAATCACCTTTAATATAATTTAAGTGCAGAAAGATCTATGGGTAATAGCCCTTTGAATAGCAGTTGAATTGTATTTTATTTTGTAATTTATTGTTGCAATAAATATTACTACTATTATTAAAAAAAATATATATATCAGGTGTAAAAATAGCTAAGAATTAAGATAATATAAAAATAATGGATCGGAGATATATGCTGACCTATTTTGTTTTTACAATTAAAAATTTGGCAAATCCACATATTTGAAAATTAATTTCAGATTCCAAATTATCCTTTAGACCGATCAATTATTCTTGCAACGAGAAATCAATATCGACAATATCCAAAATGGGAAATCAAATTTTTTTTAACGAACATTGATATCTTCTTTTAATTGTTTCAAGTGATCCAAGTACAGTAAATTAACAACTGTTGCATTACATTTTCAAAATATCAAAAAAATATTTCGATTTAAAGCATATATAAACAAATCAATTTTGGAGTAAAATCAAAATATAGTTGATCAAACTTTAATTTCGTTTTCATATTATTAAACAAAGAATAATGATTATAAATGTAAAATAATTATATTTTGTCAAAGTTCTAATTTGAAGATGCAATTAAGAATTCAAATATTAAGTAATCATTTTATAATCAATTGATATTTAAGATATTTTTCTCGTCAATAACGTTCCTTAAAAAAATAATATTAATTCCATTATTTTAATCGAGAATTTGATAATTAATTTCCGTATTTCATTAATGCATAAGTACAATAGAATAAATTATAATATCTATATTAAATTCAGATAATCGGGATAATTTGTGGATATTAATGATTCGATTGAGAAAGGTGATTTAATTCGCGAATGTTTGTGGCGATTGTACTGTTAGTATGACATACATTAAGTAACAATATACCAATACAAAAATCACAAAACGATTAATTTTATATTCAGAATTAAAACTAGCAGACTGGCTCCATCGGATTTTAAAGATAGGGTTTTTTTAGGATATGGTTTTGATAGGCTTATGTTATTAAACCATTGAGTCAATGTGAAAAATTGATTTAGTATAATTGTTTTTCAGGCTCGTCTCCTTAATATTTTGAAATATAATACATCTTTAGAATTTGCTGTGTCTGTTGCTGCTACTATTTGTAGACTTGATTTATGAGAGCTACATACGAATACGAGACTTTAATAATCTGAAATCAAATTCACTTCAATTCGTAGTCCTCAAATGACTACTCAACACTTACTGATATAGCAGTGGTTGTTGATATGGGATAGAAGGGACCCACTTTTAGAGTTAACGGCTTCTGTGCTCTCATCATAAATATAATCAGATCCTTCTGTACATCCAGTGGAAACTCGTAAAAATCGGTGTGCCACACGGCTTCAGCAACTTTCATACTCTGAATAAAAAAAATGTACATATATTTATTGCTTAATATATATGTATATTATTTAATATAAAGTGTTTGATAAATAATCATTTTAACATACTAAGAAACAGAAGTGGGACTGTGTGGCATTCAATGATAATTAAATTTGATTCAACAGATTTAGTTGCTAACGATCTTTAAAAGAAATACAATTATAAAATGATACTAACTGAGATTATTCGAAACTTATGTGATTGTAACGAATATACTATGACAGAAATAGTGAGAAACGTAATATTGAATTGAAAAAAAAAAGAATATTTATTATTATTTAAAATATTACCATAATATGTATTACCTCTATAATAATATCGTTCGCGTACCAATAGAAAATAAACATCTGTATTAGGATCGCGAATAAATATTCAATGGCGAAGACTTGGGCAATGCTGAAATCGGTCTAAAAATTGATCAATTATTATACTCGCCACGATAATCTGTCGGAAGATAGTTTACTGTTATGATTTGAAAACAAATAAATCCAATCTGCATCGAACATAAGCCAAAATTGATTAACATCAATAGGTTGAGACTTTGGTCAAGTTCACTGAAGAAGCTGCAACATTAAATGCACTTCTGAAAAAGTCAATTTCATCAAATGAAAAAAAGTAACATATAAGGAGAAATATTCAGAGCGTACTATATATAGCAGTAAAAATCTTACCTAATCATTATTTGATAAAGATTAATAGATTTGTAGAGTACGTATTTTAGAGCTATATTTTCGTCAACGTTATTTTGTTTCGCGTATAACTTGGCGTCCTTCTTGAGATTAATCAACTTGTGCTGTACGATTCGCAATTGGCCTAAGCCGAAAATCATGAGGCTCCAAAAGAACACATCGGTTAGACTCGTGTAGCAGGCTCCAATACAACCAACTACGACTTGCATACCGAATGATATGTAGTAATATTTGAATTTGTCGAAGGGAAACCAAGAATTAAAGGGTAGCGGTCTCTCCAAGTACACCACCTGATTGTCAACGATTATGGTGTAGTTCTCCATGGGATGCAAGATGGTTTCGGCGATTGGCTTTATATAGAACGGTACAGCGCTGAAGAAGGTCAAACACAAGAAACTAATGGTTAGTTTATTATTGGATTGAATCGTGTCCAAGTAGATCTTCTTCAAGGATCTATCGACTCCATCGAGGATGATCTTCTCTGTCATACGGATTTGTTTGACGAACTTTTTGATCTGCTCGCTTCGGCAGATCATGACCTTGATGAATGTCTCGGAGAACAACAAGGACACCGTTAAATTATTGGCGATAGCGAAGTAATTGCTTTCGGCCCTGCTAAAATATATCTCGCAATGTTCGGTTATTATGAAGAGCAAGAAGCAGATGACGTTGCAGTTGCTATAGAAAGCGTGCATTTTGTTGAGGTACGTGTAGCGCTTACAATTCACCGGCCACAAACCTATAATAGCCAATGTAACCATGTTGATCTTCAAGTGCTTATCATTCTCCATACCGGAAGTAAGTAAAACCGTAGATGTGAATAACTTTACTCTATAAAATGAGCGAGTAATTTAATAATTATTAACCTGACAAAGTTTTCCATAGCCATATCATTTATTACAATAGCATTTCCTAATTGTCTAGGTCGTAAAGATAGTAATTTCCAGGAACCGTCTTTCAATAATTCAAAGCAGATTCGGCCTGATAAATGAGGTCACACATCGTCCATTTAAATAATATATATTTATATATGGTCATGAAGTAGGTATAATATAAAAGATAGTTTATTTTAAAATTGCGAAATAGATAATTATTTATTCTACAGTAAACCTATCATCCATTCCGCAGGCTTAAGATTAATACTAGACAACTGTTCATTAGTGTCCACGTCCATGTCATTTTTCTCTTTGATTTCGATCTTAGTAACATCGCCCTGCTCTTCTGCGCTATTCGAATCAGACTGATTGGCATTGTTTTGTTTCTGAGCTTCAAAGATCATCGTGCTCAATACTGACTCGCAGAGCAAACTTGTTGGCGGCATCGTATGTGGTGGATAATCCAATAACTAGTTATGAAAAATAAAGTAATACGATCAATTTAATCTAATCGTTTATATATATTCTTTCTTTTCTCACCATATTAAGTTTCTTAATAGAGGATTTCTTGTAGTTGTGTACAATCGGCTCGTACTGCTCCATAGCGCTTGTCTTGATATTGGGGGTGATCTGACTAAACAACGTGTTGTTCGTTTCCTCATAAACGAATTGAGTGTACTCCTCCGTCTCTTCGTTGGTATCTAAGCAATACAATTGCTGCAATAAAAAAAAACAGCAAATTAAATATCTATCCTGATAAATTCAATATTGTGTAACATACCTTTTCTGACGTAATAAAATAAATTTGTGACTTCTCATGCCACTTTCCATTGGTTCTACTTTTATATCTATTGGGTGTAAATATGCTGCAGATCACATTAGACCCGATCTCCTTGTTTATATACACTGGTTTTGGACTGCTTGGTTCAAACACGAACACTGCAAAATTGAAAATATGTTGATTGTTAAATATCCTAATCAACAGGAAAACTAATAATAGTATATGCATATGGATGTTGATGTACTTACTTTTATTATCTGTGAAAACAGACATGTATGGTGTGGTAAAATCGGCCTGCAGGAAGGAAATATTCAGACGGACGGTCCAAGTCATCGATAAAGTCAAAAGATTCCAAACGCTCAACCTATCATTTGAGGCTGCTACCACCAAGTGGCACTGGGAGCCAACACCGAAAGCTACTTGTTTGATATCTTCCTTATAAATTGGATGTGCCAAAGAACATTTAAGCTCGCACGTTTTTGGGAGCCAGGTGGTTAGAATGTTATTGAACGGAATCGCGGCTATAGAGCCGTCGTGCGAAAAACTCAGGGAACTGGGTGTCAAATCCCTATAGAATCCAGAACCGACATTACGCCATCCAACAGAACAACCGTACATATCAGAACTATCGAACAATTGCCAAATTTTAAATAATCTGTCCTCACTAGTTGTGATACAACGGATGTCAATCTCCTTATTTGATGGCTGGAACTTTATCGCTGTAATCTTTTTTTCGTGCGGATACATGATGGACGAGTTCAATTTGAACTTTTGCTCTGTGGCATCAAAGTGCCAGAACTTCAAAAAGCACTCGAAACTTAACTCGTCTCCCGAATGCAATTCCTCCACCGTCGCCGTCCATGACCCCAACTGGTTAATGTCAAAGAGAACGATATCGATAGGAATTACGAATTTATCGACGTCATCTCCAGTAACTTTATTCCTCCCGCTTACGTCAAGCTGTAGTTATCAAAATTAAAATCTCGTTTTATTAATATGATATTCTAACTTACCGAAAACAGAAGATTCATGTCATACGGGGAATACCATTGTAAGCAACCGGTGACTCCGTTCATTACAAGCGCTTTCGTCCTTGGATCAAAAACAATTCCTCCGGGGAATTTATCGCCCAATACGAGATGCTGAATGTTGCTCACATTATCGAAATAACTGCTGATGATTTTCACGGCATTGTCGCTGGTACTGATAGCCACAAACACATTATCTTCCGAAACGGAGAGTTGTTCAATAGCAGAAGGCAATCGCGGTAAAAATCGCCTGTTCAACGGCTCAAATAACTCCCAGCGTACCAAGACAGCCTCGTTGCCACCACTGTAAAACGTGCTGCCCCCCTTGGATAAGCAAATTGACTTAACTGGTAAAGAATGCCAATGATAAATAGTTTTTGTACATTCTTGCAAAATTTTTAGCCAAGAAATAATCCGACCCTGCTCATCCCCTGTTAACACACATTCATACTCTGGATGGCATAAAACATATGTGAAATTCGCTGAAGACTTCTTTCTAAAAATGTAATAATTCATTATACTGTAACAATTTACATGAATATACATACGTGATTATATTATTGGGGTCATTCAGAGTGACAAATCTCAATATGTTATTTTCAAGTAAACAGATGAAAACATTATCTACTGGTCCTCCAACATCGACAAGAAAATTGTCCCCAATATCAAAGCTAATTGTTAGTTCTTTGAATTTTTTTGAGCTTAAGTCCAAAAATCCAAAATTTATTCTCTTATCCTTCTTCCAACAAATCATAGCCTTCTGCATTACATTTCCCTTATACAATCTGTTCACCAACTTAAACTTCTTCACATTCTTCCGACATGTTTCCTGAATAAACAATAAGTTAAAATTAAAAATGCTTACAGATATTGTAGAATACTTACAAAGGAATACAATTTAACAGCTGTATTTAGATTCCAGCAAATAACTGTTCCTTTTCTTGTACAAGCTATTAATTGCTCAGATCCCTCCAAATTGTAAACATCAAAACCAACAATCTTCTCATTGCAATCTTTGAAGACAAGAAACCTCTTACCAGTTTTCACATGATATGAATACAAGCAATCAACTCCAGCAACAATTACATACCTGCAAGTAAATGTATTTAAACAATGATGTTTATTCAATAATTTAATAACTCACTCTTTGCTATCTGAGAATACTGGAGGCAGTTTAACGAAGGAGCCGCCGCCCTTTAATTTCAAAACCAATTCCGTGTCCGATATCATAGTTTAATATTTATAAATTACTTAAGATCTCATAACACCAACACAAACTGCACTTAAATAAGGTTATGTTTAAAATGTGTCTGAACAACACGTGAAGTTCGTAAATTTTTAAACTCTTAGTAACCAAACTCACACGAGTGTACGATGGGTTGTATACAATAAGATATCAATGTAAATACATTACCTTACTGCACTTGCACAAATGTCTCAACATGCTTCGAACAACTCGACCAAACCAAAATCGACGAAATAACCAAATGAAAAAATGCTGTATATTTTATCTTCTCTCCTTCTTGAAGAGTGGGGGAAAAGAAGAATGTATTAACTTTATAGGGGCGGCAATATCAATGTAGGGAACAGTTGGGGAACAGTCTCCCAACTAAGAAATGTATAATTGATTTTTAGTTTTAAAACTAAATCTCATCGCATATTTTTATTACTTAGGTAAAACTGATTTGAATAAATATAAAAAATAATAATAGACATTAAAATAAAATAAGTTCAAATATTTTTTTTTTAATAAAGAATTATATGAAGTAACGTCAAATAATGAAATGTTATTCGTGTCATGAAAACTGAAATCGGCGATAAGCAGTTATCTAGAGGTGACTTTTTTCAGAATGTGTATTCATTAAACTATTACATTTAGATTTAGAATTGAAGAACACATTGGTGACAGAGGGAAAATGGTCATACTGGTTTGCACTTGTGACCTCTTTCATGGTTGTCCCGTTTGTTACCTATACTATAATAAATTCCATAATGCTATTTAAAGGACCTGCGTTTAAAGTCAGATGCGAAATTCCTGCGCTCGAGAATTTACCATGGAGCTTCGAAGAAATTCAGAGGCTGATACAACCGTTAGATTTTTCACATTACATCAATATCATTTCTTTTGCATTAAAACTATAACATACATACTATGCCCTAGTTTTAACGGTGTTCTTCCTAACAACGTAGTACTTCATAATTGGAGTGGTTTTTTGAAAATATGAGACCGATGATTGCGTGCGGAACATTTCATACATATTCAAAAACAATAAAATTTCATGCAAAAAAAATGAAACAATGATTTCTATTTGGTTAACAATAATACTAGTTGTTTTCAATTTCTATAATTTTCAGAAATGACTCCAATAAAATTTGTGTCTATTTTAATTATGACTACGAGAAGTTAGCGGGTATGAGTTATAGAGATGCGTTGAAGATGCCAAAGACATCAACTCAAGAGTTGTCATGCTCAAGTCTGGTATTCAATGATGATACCGGCTACACAACCATATACAAAGATGTTAATTGCGTCATCAAATATGTAAACCATTGTATTTTTAATTGTCAACAACTTGTAGTTCACATTGTTCTGCCACAAGACCATAAAAACCCTGATCATATTGTCGAATGTTATTGGAAACATGCTAGGATACATATTCTTCGTGCCGATGGCTGATATGTAACATAAGATCTTTTTTTTTAATAGATGGAAAAGGTAAATCATATTTATTCGTAGATACAGCAGAAAGGCAATGCTTTCGTTTTCTCTGAGAATGTCTCAAGTGGCAGCTGTTGGGATAATCTTCTTCGATAACATGGAATTGTTTATGTTTGTTAGAGTACTGTATGGTATAGCTTACGCAATTACGAATGTTACGCTGCATACGCTTGGTAATTTGTGTTTTAAGTTATTAATTAATTAGATGATTTAACTGCAAATTACAGCTTTAGAATTATGCTCGCCACTTTTGAGACCCTGCAGGTTCTTCATATTGCATGCACTATCAGATGGAATCAGTTACGTTTTGATTCCTTTAGTTGCGAGTTTCTGTGTCCATTGGAGATATCTCCTTTGTTTTTACAGCATTGGCATTTTGTTCCTGCCGCTCGTCGATTGGTAAGTTCATTCATCATATTAGCTATAGTTTATTTTGTTTATACATAAAGGTTTGTGCCAGCCTCGCCTCTATGGTTCTACACAAAAAGCAGGAAAGTTGCTTGGACTCTGTTGAAATCATCGAAAACGCCACATGTGAATAACGAGGTCCTCTCGTTTTATCAAAACAATAAAGTCAATCTTAGCGGCGAATTGTTTTGGCTTTTGAACGATTTCAAACGAACAAAGCAGACGTTTTTATGGTGCTATGTAATGCTTATTGGTATCAGCAGTTCGATTTGCAGCACCAACTTCATCGGTAAACGAATACCAGTTTCTCATTTTTGAATAATTTACGGTTTTCAGATTATTTTCAAGACATTTTCAACTCACAGTATTTTCTTTACTTCTTCGCAATTTCCCGGTTGATCTCCATGACTTCATCTGTGTTTCTGATTGCGCTCGTCGGCCGGAAGACTACAGTTTTTATCTCGCAAACGTTTCTGGTCATCCTCTGTATCATTATCACTCAATGCAATCTAGGTTTTAAATATATATGTATACATCGATTTTATAATATTTCAAGCAAACTTTGTTGTAGACTCTGGACTGGCGTTCGGCGTGTTTTATCTGATCGATGCATGCACGAATTTACTCTATGGAGTTTGTAAATTACATGCTATCGAAAACGCCCCAACCACACTCAGATCGACTATCTTTGGATCATATGAACTTGCAGCCTGCTTTTTCAGGATATGCCTATTTTTTGTTCTTCGTTTAGTTGCAGTGAGTAACTATCATTTACTTATTTATTAATCCTTACAAATGCATATTTCTTTAGTTGAAAGTTTATTTTATACTCGTCGCAGTTCTAGCTTGCTTTTCCTTCGTTCTAGCTTGGTATACGGACCAAGACAATGTCCATGACTTATTTAATTGTTAATAATTAGTTTATATTCATTAAATATTGTCTGAATGTTACACTGAATTGAAATAAAGTATTTTAATTTTGTGATTAGGCTAGTGATGTATACAATTACATAACAAAAATAAAAAACAGCGAACTGGCCCTTTGTAATGTATTACAAATTCTCAAGGAAGTTACATGTGCCTGACCATAAAACCAATATACATAATATGTATGTCTGCTATATTATAACTATTAATGATGCATGTAGATAGAGTTTGTATAAAAAAATGTAAGTGAAAGAACAATTCGTACACTTTTATTTTGCTACATATTAATATCTTATTACCATTCAATTATTTCTGCCGTATGTCTGTTGAACCAAAGTCACGCAAGAGTAAGCCGTTTTCAGAATCTAAAATATAATACAAATATTTTATAATGTTGATATTCAAAAAACCTAATCAAATTAACTGTTAATGCAGTTCGTAACGACATAGGATAAAATTGTCCAATATTAAGCGTCAACGGTTTTTGTGACTTAAAGGTAACGAACAATAACATTTTCTTAGCGTCTTCCGGTAGATCTATCCAATCGCTCTCCCAGATCGCATCACCTATTTTCAAACTCTAAAAATTGAATATAAAAAAAATATTTTTAAAATTTTCTGTTTTTAATCTTACTTCGATAGTCAATTCGTTTGCTAATCCGTAAAAAACGAACAGTTGTATCAACATGGCCGCAAAGAATTCAACCGCAAATATCTCCGGCAAACCGAAGGATCCGGTCTTCATAAAAAAGACATTTAATTACATTTACAGAACTGAAGGGTAATCAATCTGAACGTACAATTATTATGCGAATTATGGAAATTCCCATTTGCACTGAGCACGACAAGAAATCGATCAGCATCATAAGATTCATACTCGCATTTATGTCATCCACGAATCTGAAATAATATATAATAATTAATTAATTAATTCATGAGCGGTAAATCGAATTAACTTTATAATGATGTTGTGCAAACGAATGCAGACTTTGATGTCAAGCGAATAGTCTCCTGTGGTGTTTTTTCTAAGTTTTCTCAACTTGCTTTGTAAGATTTTAATTAGGCATATTGGGAATAGCATGACCGACCAGAATATAGCATCTGAGCAGGTTATACCAGCCGTACCCAGTACGGTTACAATAATTTGCAGAGCAAAAGTTATCTCATAATGTTTATACTTATCGTATGGATACCACCCAACAACTGGTAATGCGGAGTGTTTGGTTAAATTCCCATTTATATCGATTGTCACTTCCCTGAAGATCGGTATGAAATAGAATGGAAGTACTGTGATGAAACCGAGAGTGTAAATCATCTTGTTCAATAATTTGTTGTAGTCTGTATATCTCTTGAATATGGTAATGGTAATAGTATCGCCGCCTTCTAATATCTGATTCTCTGTGGTCCTGATTTGACGGATCAATTGCGTAATACCTCGGTTCGAAACGGTCAGTATTTTGAGAAAGGTAGGCACGTATAGCAAGTTTACACCTAGATTATCAAAAAAGTCTGTAATATTGAATTGTTTCGTGCAATACAGTTCAACGTATTGGCTCAGAATGAAACTACCGAAGTATCCGATAGTTAACGTGCGATAAATCCTGTATAGAGCGTATCTGATTACACTAGTCTCGCCGATATCTATCGGATAGTATCCGAAGAGCTGAGCGACGTTAATGCAAATGTTCATATAGTTGTCTGACGGCATACTGACTCTCACTGTCACCACGAAACTAAATAAACGAAGGAATAACTTCTTTCAGATATTTATTCACTTATAAATGAAAAGAAAATCACATAATTCGTACAAAAATCCATTTACAAAAAAAAGGTTGAAATTGGGGAGGCACTATAATTAATTTTCAATAATTCACACCAAATTCTCGCGCCAATGGTTATTTAATTTCATAATAACCCTACTATCCTGACTGCGATTCCTTGGTAAGACTAAATTAACAAAACACTTTCGATCAAAAAAATAAAGGTAATAATTTCGATTTACAATTGTATAAATAACTTAAAGGTTTATTTTATTAACAAAATACAGGCATAATATATAATCAAGTGTTATGTTGACGCATTAACATAATTCTCGATCTGCTTTAGCACTAGTGCGACTCTATGGGGCGGAGGGCTCGCGTAAGGAACGGATTGGAGGAAACTCATCAGCGCCGAAAGCAGCCTACTTTCAAACTCGAACTTCTTTTCGTTACATATCTTGAGGAGCTCCGCCATTCGGTCCCTGATAAGCATGTATTCCAAAGGTTTAACCTTTTGCTCATCCTCTCTGATACTGTTCAGAATAGCAGAGTAATTAATATCCTTCCTACTCGTACCGTTGACAAAATGGTAGGCTTCGCATACTTTATAAAGGATATTCTGTGGCGTTCTACCATCTCTATTATTTAAATCACCATTACGGTCAGTTAAGATTTTCACGTATTCCTCTCCCTCTTTGCATTTGTAAAGCATGAATAGCACGCAATGGAACTTCCGGAAGATCAACGACAATTTATGTTTGCCCCTCTTACCAGTCTTCCTTTGCTCCAACTTTTGTATTTCTTGGTACAGTTGTCCACAGTCAATCTTCAAGCAATCTGTCACCACATCTGAGAAGAACTCTGTAAGTTTATTTTTTATTTTTTGATCTGTGCCCGGAAATACCGTCGCTATGTTTAAGAACTCTTCCATAGAATTTTTTAATTCGGTTACAGCGGACAGCGGTCCAATTATTATGGCGAAAGCGCACTTCTCGGGACCAACGTTTGAAAAATGAATTTTGGCATTCACCAATGGATACTTCTTGAAGAACGTGCATTCTGGGCTGTTCAAGTATGTACCAACTCTCAGTGATAAATATAGACACTCCGAGACAGTTTCAAAACTGTTCATTAGAATCTGCGAATACTCGTCATACGTCAATTTCTTGTAGAAAAAGTTTACCATAGTTATTGTCAGCTGCACCCGCTCATCGTGGTTCATTATGTAAGACTTCTGGAATCGGTCCTCGTACTGCTTCAAAGTGCGCAATTGTTGGGTCCGGATATTCTCATTAGGAAATAACGTCCCGAATAAAATCGCATTTAATAAGATGACATCGTCCGCAGTTGATTCCTGGCTGAACACTTTGTTTAGTAATTGTTTAAGATCCTCTATGCGCCTGGTCCACTGCATATATGTTAATAACTTATTTGCAAGAACAATGTCCTCTTGATTTTTCTCGCCTATAGGATTAACAATGTAATCATTAATTCTAATGGCGGCATCATTCACTTTTGGTCTTTCGCCAGCAATTTGAATAGAACATATACCCTGAGTCACCAGACTAATGCTCACTTCCAAATCTCTTTCTAAGGATTTAATGTACGCTTTCCCATCATTGGAAGCAAAATGCATGCTCGTCGAATGCAGCAGCTTAATAAATTTAGTACAGTTTTGCTGCACTGCAGAAAACGGATTAAGTACTAAAGTTAAAGAAGAATTTCCATCAGTCTTCATTTTATTTAGAGGAGTATCGTATTCCTGAGTGTTGGTTGCATCACTGGTTGAGGTAATAGTTACTGGAGTACTAGTTATGTGTGGCTGTTCCTTCTCCTGTCTCTCCTTTGATATGGGCGACTTTTTCGTAGACTTTGTCGACCTGTATATATCCTTGTAGTTCATGATGAACGGCACGTTTTTAGACATGGATCGATTCCATCCACAGTCGAACTCGTAATGTCCTGAATTGCCACAACCCGAGCACCAACGATCCTTTGGTTCCCTAGTCAAAATATTTTTGCATTTAACTGGCGGTCCATCTTCCGTCTATAAATACATTATACGTAATCAAATATATAAAAGATATACTCATTAGTATTTAATACCGTCAAATGGTAACGTCTCCAAGTATCTGGACACATTTGTTCTTTGTGACCTTTCATTTGGCATATTCGGCAAATGTGGTGCTTATAATTTGCACATTTAGAACAAAAATTAGTTTCGAAATGAGAGCTATTTCCACACTAAAAACAAAATAAAGATATATTATTCAAAAACAACACATTTTATAATGTCAACAATATTTTAAATCATTTTTATTTTAATATTATGATCTGTTAATTTTCAATATATTAATGTGACTGTTATAATAAACATTATTTATAAAACTAAAAATTATAACAAAAGTTATAATTTGTACATTTTTCTAGATTTGCATAAAATTTAAAGAACTCATTTATACACAAAATATAGAAAGAAGAAATACAATCTTCATTTATAGTTTATGCATAACAGTTTTTGTAACATTTCACAGATTTGGAACTCATGTTTAATTCCAAGCCTAAGCGTTATTCCAATTAATTCTAGAGTAAATTTAATAGATTCTAAAATACTGATGTTGACACATTAATGGTAATTCAATTATTTTCTCATAAATTAGTTTGTTAACTTATCATATAAACATAAAATGATAATAGTTTTAAAAAAAATAATGAGAATGTAACAATGTTATCAGTTCATTTGATATTAGATATAATGTATTATGAAATGCAACTTACCCCTGAACATAACTTGTATGGACATCTTGGCTCAAAGTGGTTACAGCTGGCGCACAAAGAACAACGGGCTTTACCCAATCTATTGGGACATCTAAACTTATCATGTCCATTATCACCACATCTATCACACCTTGGTCCAAATGATCTCTTTCTTTTAATCCGTAGACGGTCCGCATGAATTATTCTCCAGTTGGTCGAGTTGTCTAATTTTAAATAATTTTAATAAAATATTATATTGCATATAAAACATAAAATAGTACAAACATACCAGACATAACATTAAGTTCGTGATCCATATTGAAATTATTTGTCCAAACGTTATTTAAATTTTCCAAAATATTCCCTTTGTGCCTTGCATGTAATTCACATGATTTTCTTTCTTTGACACTATTGTTTTTATTCAATCCTAGATCTTCAACAGTGAATGCATTCAAAATAATATCACTGCTCTCAGATTTCTTCCTCTTTTTGATCCTGCCAGGTGACTCTCGAACATTATTGTTATTATTACTATTTACGGTACTTGGTTCTTCTTTGCCGTCTTTTGAATTAACTAGAACTACGTCGTCATTACTATCCTCGAAATAAGATAAATCTGGTAATTTCCGTTTGTTGCTTTCCAGAATAGCCACCTTGCTATCATTGTATTCACTTTCGGAACTCGTGTCTGATGCAGTTTTGCAGGGCGATTGAGATAATGTCTCGTTGAAATCTAGTTTAGTCACCGAGGATTTCTTGGCTTTAACAGTGGAATTCCTTTTGGGGGTAATAAAATTCGCAAACGATTCCAGATTGTGTTCAGAGAACAGGTTGCTCTCCATAGTAATATCTTTGAAGCTATTCTTCTGCAACGATGCTGTAATGTCAATTGCGCTGCAACTGCTCTCGCTTCCGCAATTATCCACAACAGAAGAAACTGTACCAATTGGTCCTTTAGTAGGTGTGTTTAAATCAATACCATCTACAATTGACTGGTTAAACTTGCCCTGGTTTGTCTCACTTAGATTATCTAAGAAGTCCATAGTCGATTCAGGTGTTCCAATAAGAGACAAATTTGGCTGTGGGGGCTTCATCATATCTGTATCAGAAGGCTCCAAATCAATTACAACAGTCTCAGGCTTTTTGTCTTCTACAAAAATCACATCATCATCATCAGAGTCACCTTCAATGTGTTCATTCTGCAAAGCAACTTGCAAATTACTCTTGAGATCCACATCTTTTTCGATTTTCACTATATTTTTATTGTCTGAAACTAAATCAATTGTATCAATCTTCTGTTCAACAATTTCACAACCTCCTTCATCTGATGATGTAAATATGCAAATAACAGATTCCTTTGAAATACTACCATTGTATTTATCAATCAATTTTTGTTGTGCAAGCTGCTTCTTTTTCTGCTTGCGTTTTTGAAGGTATTTTTGCTTCTTTTGATACTTGAGAACTTTCTTTCGTTGCTCTTGGGTCATTGTGCGAAATATTTCTGCATTTTTTGAAGCTGCCCTAATAAAAGCCTTCTCTGCCTGTCGCACCTTTTTTGCTGCATTTTTCTTGTTGACAGCATTTTTTTGAATGCTTGGTGGCAACATTATAGGATAAGCATTACATGGCATGATATTGTTTAATGGTGTTTCTCCTTCAAATATAGCTTGTTCACCTTCATTATTATCATTTCTTGTAAATGAGTAAGGGCTATAAACTGATTTCTTATTTGGATCATAATATCTTGGCCTGCTTGCTGGTTTGCTCAAACCTGTTATTGGTACAGGACATAATGGCTCCTCCTTAGCAGTTGAATGATAAATTTGGCTATAGAGTCTTGATTCCAATTCTTGCAAAGTTTCAGCATCTGGTTCATCACACTACAACAATATAATACATATTATAAATGGGAAATCCATTGATATTATGGTTTCAAAATGTTACATAACCTATAAATTATATTATAATTTTTGGGCTCAATTTGTACTTACCATCTTTAGATTTGTATAGGCATTGGAGTAATGTCATTGGATTATATTCATATAGAAGTAAATTAATAGTATTATGATAATTAAAAGTATATTCAAGTTAATGATTTTTTTTAATAAATGTCAAAATATATAATCCTCTCACTCCATCACACTTCACATTTATTCACCAATTCATCCAAATTCAACATGTGCCCAAGCAGTGCAAAGGTATGCAACTTTCATTTACTTGAATCAGTTGCAGATGAACAACATTAAAGTATAGATAGTAGACCGGATCATCGTTCCATTAGTATGCTTGGATAGTTTATTTTAATATGTTTAAACCAATGTCAATGCACTTCAAAATTAATATTTTATATTAATTTGAAAATAATTATTAAACATTTTAAAATCTAGCTTTTTTTATTTCTACCTTTCAACAATGACGAAAGCATATAGTTTACGTCTAACAAAATTATGAACGTAATAAATAATGTAAAAATATGAATAGACAAATAATTTAATAAATAAAATATTATGTGACCGTACTCACTGGTACTCACATGTGTATATTTATATTTTTAGGGATTTTTAATTGTACTTATTTTTTATATTGGCATTTGTGTTACTAAAGCAATAACACTGAATAACACCCATATTGGTATAAGCTGGTATAGGCAACATAATACACATTATTTACCGAACATAAAATTCATTTTTTATTCGATTTCCACTTAACATTTAATAGTTATTGTTCGAGATGGTTGTACTAAGTTCGTTCATCCACCCAGACTCGCCAGTGCACTTAGAGCAAAGAAACATCAGAGCTGTACTTGATAAGAAAAATATTGGTGAAGGAACATTGTTTATATCAGAGAGGTTAGAAATCAACAAAAGTCGTTTTTAAATTAACATTTAAACTGATTTCTTGTAGGACTCTATGTTGGAAAGATGATGATATTGGTTTTTGTCTAACATATCCACACATCTCTTTACATGCCATCTCAAATGACCCTGCAGTTCATCAAAGTCAATGCATTTATGTTATGATTGATGCACATGTCAAAATACCAGGTAACATGTTTGAGAAAATTCATTGATTTTTAATTTTGTCTCATTATTCTATTTTTTTATAGGTATCAATTATGAGGATGTTCCTGAAATAAATTCTGAGAGTGATGATGAATCTGATGCTGATATTTCAGAGCTATTGCTAATCCCACATGATCCTGCTACAGTACATAATATATATGAGGCATTAAAGCAGTGCCAAGTGAGTAATTATTATTTTTTATATGCTAGTATGATATGTATGTATTGATTTTAAGGAATTGAACCCTGATCCAGAAGATGTTGATGATGATGACGATGACATTTATGAAGATGCAGATGAGAACATGGATTCAAATGAAGATGCATTTGGGGGAGGTGGAGATAACGGTAATACATCTATAGCTATGTAGTTAAAATACCTACATTCTTTGTTTTATAGATATGGAAAATATAGTTAACCAAATCAGAAGCAACACAATGGATATTAATTATGATTATAGTAATGGAGATCATATTAGTGAAGATATTTTTGAAGATGCTGACTAATCTGCTTGTTGATGCTAAAGTATTTATTATTAACTTTTTTTGATACCAAACCATTCTTTGTATTTTGTTTTTTTAAATAAAAGTAACGCAGGCTAGATTTAGAAACAAAGCTATATATTCTTTTAAAATATCAAAATAGATATACATAATTCCTGTAAAGCGAGGAATCAATATAAAAACGAAATAGAAGTTAATAATTCCAACAATTAAAAAAGGGGCAAACGAATAATTATCGAACACGTTTTCCGAAGATCAAATCTGCATCGGGTGCACCTTTCGGGTGTTGGTACTTTTTCCTTTCTCTGTTCAGGTTTTGCGTAACTGGTCTACTCTGTTGTTGCATCATCTCTTGAAAGTCTTCCTCCTCGAACCTCTCAGATATATTCAACGTCAATCGTTTCACTTTCATTTTCTCTTCACGTTGTGCCAACTCCTGATCTCTCAGATTCTGTGCCAGCTCCGAGTTTATATCTGCTTCGAACGGCTTGTACTGCTGCTTGTTTCCTTTGCGTACCATCAGGACAAATCCCATAGTGTTCTGGTCCTTATCACCGGTCTCTTGGAGTTGGTCGTAATTTTTCTTGTTCGACTTCAGCACCGGTACCGAAATGTCGATGTGCGATGCCTTGACAGTCTCACGCATTCTTTCCTGGATATTCTCCGATACCATTTTATCCAACGCATTCAAGAACTCGTCATCTTCTTTACACTCCACCTTCCTTGGACCACTCGGGATTGCTTCAATTTCGGACGCAACGCCTTGTTGATCTTGCTGGTCCATATCACTATTATCCCTGTCGACTAGAATAAATTTTCATTAATACATAAAATTAAAAATGTTTGAAATAATAAAATCAGACACATGATCTTATTAACCACAACCAAAAGGATAATATTAATATCTCAAGAATGTAATCAATAGTTTTTTTTTGTATTACCAATTTATGAAAGTGTGTTTAATTTCAGATTGAAAATCCTAAGTAATATATAAGATTAAATTACCTTCTTCATCAGAGCCTTGAGTATTATCAACAGTCTCGTCTTCGGTGGCTGTGTCGTCAGTCGTAATTGGAGCTGTGACACAATCGGATACTTCATCTTCTCCTTGCTCTTCGTTATCAGTCTCGGTAATTATTTCTAATCCATCCCCTTTCGTTTCATCGTCTTGCATGTGATCAGCTAAATGAACAAACATATTTAAATATGATTTTGGCTACAAGTATTGCGGAAATATTACAGATGCCCAAGTTTCTTTTAATATGCATGATTTCTTTTTGCGAATCTTCATAAGATGTACACAGTTTCAACTTCGGCCTAAGTTGATTCAATGTGTCCTTGAACAAGTGTTCCAATGGAGGCGGGAACGCCTCGCCCCATAAGCTGTGCTTGAACCAATAGTACGCTTGGAAGAACGTCAAGAAGTAATCTAATTTGCGTTTACTGGATCCACTGCTGAAGTACATACCTTAAATCAAATCGTTTATGTATTACTATAGCGCAAGAAATATTTAAATTATTTACCGCACGTTTCTAATAAGACACAAGCTAACCGTATGCGAAACAAGTGATTCGGAGGATCCAAAATCGATGGGCTCTCCGAATCCATGCTCACTCCGAAACTTATCAACGAATAGAGAACCTAAATATGTATACAACAAAAATAGTATTAGTATTCAATAATTTTATATCATAACTTACAAAATATAATTATCACAAAGAAATAGATATATTTGTGATTTATATGAATATTTTAAGTAAATATACATAATCTTGTAAATTAAGTTAATTACTTAGTTTATTTTTTATTTATCATATAGGATTTGTAATTACCTTGAAAATATCGGTACTTTCTACAATTCGATAATTATAAAGTTCTCCCAGATACTTTACTTGAGCTACTCGCCGTTGGTTAAATTTTGGTGAGTTAACTTCCATTCCTAAACGGATATCTTCTAAGACTCCGTCAACAACTTTTGTGCCTACCTCATCTTGATATGCGACAAGACCGGCTAGTAGATTGGCTAAACATCTGAAAATTAATAACATATACAATTTCAATCAGAGAGTCGACCCAGAACCGTAATCCGAAGTTAACCTGAATTTTTAACAGAACCGGAACTGTAACCGGAACATAAAAACCGAAACTGCAACGAAATTTTAATTTCGGTTCTTTTCTTTTTATTAAATTAATTCATAATCTCTTTGTATTATCATGTATCATCAAAAGTAGTGTGCCGGTGCGAGTCTTTTGATATAATTATATAAACATTCGAAAAAATTTTTTTTCGAAATTGTGTTTAATACAGTATATAAACAAACAATGTTTAAGAGACATCCACGAAGTGTCTTTGAATACTCCGAATTTTTTCTTCAAATAAACAAATACATAATAAAACCATCCAGACCTAATTATATGAGAACGCTTAATCATCAATATAAAAAAAAAACCTGCTCCCAATCACAACTCACAGCCCATAATAATAAGAATTTATTTAATAATATACTTAAACCACGCCGCAAACATCGAACGATCAATATGTCACGCCGAATATGAAGAACTTCAAAAACAACCACCGACTTAAAAAAGATAAATTGTACAAGAACAAGTCTTGCGCAACTATCATTAGAGCAAATTCAAATAAAAGTGATTAAAATAATATTACTACAAATATGACCGAAGAAACATTACAAAGTGCATGAGTTGAACTAGTCACTTTTGTATTTTCAATATTATAATTATAAACAGCAGTACAAAGGGAAATTGGTAAATAATATTAAACCAAAATTTGATATTTGACTCGATTTTAAATTTTAACTTTAACGAAAGCAATTAATTTCTTTTTCGATTTTAAATTTTAATTTGAAACTGAACCGAAATTTTTAGACAAACCGAATCTGGAACGTAACCGTAAACCGTTACGAAATTAATTTCGGTTCGACTCTGATTTCAATTTATAATAAACAAAAATAATTTTGTTAAGGTTTAGCAAAAATATTTTTGAACCTATAGCTAAATTATGCTTATGTTTTTTCTTTTAATAATTACAATTATTGTGCTTTAGACTTCTTTAATAAATAATTTATTTAATAATATTTTTAGAAATTTCTCTCATGACACATCATTTGAAATTCAATGCTGGTCTAAAAGTGATTCTCAAAGTGGAGGTCGCCAAAAATATATGGGGCGTCGCAGAAAAATTGATAACAGACAAGACAGTAAATTTTCTATATTGAGTGCGGACCAGAAAGTTCGAGAAACACTGCTTTAGACCAGTGCTGGCGAACCTATGATATCCCAACAGACCATGGTTCTTCAAACTATGGCAATTTGAAATTTATATAACTAAATTGAAAGTATAATTTTAGGTGTTTATAAAGTTTGTTAAACATATTATATTTGTTCAACTTTAAGAATTAAACCAAACTTCTTGTTTGATATATAGGTTGTAATATTAATTATTGGTCATACAGTGTTTCTTGAAAATAAAAATATATGTGAGTTAATTAATGAATAACTTACCTAATATTAAAATATTTCATATTATGAGCACCAGTTAAACATTTAATAGCGTAGGCAGCAGTATCGTCGTCACTCCAATTCAATTTTCGGATCAAACGTAAAATCTTATCAGTATTAGTTTTCTGCAAATCTTGGTAAAGCAGTTTTCTCAGGAACTGATGCATCGGCGGTCTTTCCTTCTTGGCCACGGCAACGAGATCTGGTGGATTAACATAATAATAGGCATTCTCGATTTGCGTAACGTAGCGCGAATCCAAAGCCATAACTGCTTTTTTCCTCATCATCTGCTCCAAATAAACCTTGGTCCTTTGGTGTGATTCCGGTAAGCAGAAAAGAAAATGCCCACAAACTTCAAGCAAATTACACGCCATTTCAATGTGGTGATGTGAGAAATCGTGCAGCAATACTTTCAAGCAATATAGTGCCTCGATCTTCGAATATAAATTGAATTTGACGAGTTCTCCAATGTATCGCACCACTTTGATCTTTGACTCGATGTTAATCTGATCCTTTTTACGGACGTGATACTTGAAATCCTGTCGCAGCATCTGGCATAAGTCATTCGCAATTTCAGGTAGCGCTGGATAAAGTATGGCCACGAATCTGGCATAAAATGGCAATAGATCCAAACGGGTTCTATTAACACTAAAAAGACTTCTAACCAATTTCCGACGGTTATGTTTTGTATTTAATGTGACCAAAAAGTCTATAGCCGCGTTGTCAATCATCTCGCGGTTGACGCAGTTCGGCAGATTGTTCAAGAAAGCTTCGAGCACAATCTTGTTGCTAACGGTGATTGAAGATGTATCTTCAACTTCATCTTCCACTGGTGGATCTTCAACTTTAGTGTCCTCTTCCTCTAGCTCTTCTGCCGGTAGCTCTGAATCTAAAACTTCCTCAGTCACTTCAGATTCAGCTTCTGGTTTTGGAGCCGATTTATTGATCATGGATGTTGGTAGAAACGCTTGCAGTTCAGGTAACTCACAGTAAAATCTCTGAGTCTCACTGTCACACCAAATATTTTCACCATTGGCTACATTTGAACCATCTCCATCAAAGTCAACTCCTGCACCAGTCACAACCATATTCTAAAGAAAAGAAATTAATTATTAATCTTTAATGATATAAATAATTTACCTCTTCATCTTTTGTAATAATGTTAGCCCTAAGTTCAGGCATATTCTCATCCAGAATTTCAGAAAAGTTCTGTGCAGCTGTTATTAATTTATCATAAGAAATTTGAAGAGATTCAAGTTTATCTTTTCTTTCCTGACTGAGCTCTCCTTTGGTTTGTAAAATTCTATAGTTCTGTTTCTCGAAATCCTGCATCTCAATATGGTCCTTCACAAGGTGTTTGCTTAATGAAGTGAAGTAATCTTTAAGAAGTGATTTTACATTTTGCTGCTTCTCAGGTGGCAGAAAATCACTCTTTGGAATTGTAGATTTGTATTTATTAGCCAACTCATGTATTTTCCTTGGAACCAATCCTGCATACTCATCTCCACAATGTCTACAGAAGCTTAAAACAATAGAAATATTTAAATGCTCCTCCTTATCCATATTGATCAAAGTCAAAAGGACATTGCCCAGCAAGGAGAATGCTGTTTTATTATTAAATATGTTCACATTAACAAGCTCTGCATAGAATCTTAGATCAACACGGAGTTTGCTTGGATTGTTAATTTTATCACTTGTTTTGATATTAAGAATCTTCTGCCAATTCTCAAATAAGTGCTGAGAGAAATCTGAATAAGTTTGGTGCAATATGCAGCACATCTTAACAGCAGCTGCAACATCAGTCATCTTTAGTTTGCTATCCACAATGGCAGCCGCTATCTCTGAGATGTACTTTGTTAAATTCAAACCAGACATATCTTTAAGGTATACATCAATTTGAGTTGAACTAAAGTTCCTGATCTTCTTAACAAAAGCTGTATTTTTCTTAAGGCTGGAATCCAGCTTCGTGAAGTGGTTATCGCTCGGTCTATTATTTCCTGCATTTTGGTTTACGTTTCTCAACTCTGCTTTGGAGGTTATGCGCTCGGTCGCTTCTAAGATAAAAGTCTCAAGCACTTTTTTCTCTTCATCTTCATTGTTAACAACTTCCACATCGTTCGAAGCACCTTCCAGTATTGTCATTACATATACTTTGTAACAATATAATTAGTGCAACTAAAGTGTAGTCATATAATTTTGCAAGTGATAAACTACAATATACATATGCTATTTAATGACAATGACAGCAAACATATATGCAACATAACATACATGTATTATTATATAGATTCTGGAAAAATATTTCGGCAAAATATGCAACTTAGCTCACCCGTTTTATTCATTATGAGGCGTGAGCTAAGTTGCATATTTTGCCGCAATATTTTTCCAGAATCTATATGGGTCTATATCGAAATCCCGACAACAGTTGGGTCTTATTTTATTATGGCCGCTTAAATTTTAAATAAAATGCTTGTGCATTGAGTTATTCATAGGGAAAACTTAGCAACTATTCCATTCTTTTAGTGATTTTTTAAGTGACAAATGATGTATTTGGTAAAATCCTTTACCATGAATTACTTATGCTCCAAAAATGTGAAGCGCAATCTATTTTGGTTAAGTTGTTTACGGTAATTACTTTAAGAAGTTCGGAGACTTGGTCATTTTTTTAATCTTTGGGGTCCTGGACTAACGCTGTTTGGGCCCCCAACAGTGTGCATATTCTGCATAATATTTCTGAGGATTTTTTTAAGTAAAGGTATTCAGCCAAATTTGATGGTAACAAGCAAATTTTTATTTGAAGTCCCCCTTGAATAGAAAATCATAGAGCCCTAAACAACAGTTATAAAAGTTGATAACGGGGGGATTGGAGTGTTCTGTATCGGAGGACCACATTAAGAAAGTAGTTTTACCGTAGAAACTCCAACCCCGGAGTTTGGCGGTATTACAGTTCCGCCACTGATAATGTCGGTAATTTTTTATTGATCGGAAAGTAAAAGTGATGTTGCACATAAAGATGATTTATAAGTAAAATCCGACAAGTGGAAAATTATTTCGTCGATCCCCAGTTATATTAAAAAAAAGAAAGTGTCTATTGAAATAGCTACATACATACAGAGGAGGAAGAAATTGTCAATGTCCAATTCTCATTTATATATTTTTATAAAAATAAAAATAAACATTTATTTAGATAAATATATTTTATTTTTATAGTGGCATCGACAGCAGATCAGTAGTTCATTAACCATTTTATAATAGAATATTAGATTTTAAAAACTAAATGATCGTGATATACAAGATTTATTGAAGTGATTGTTCCGACCGACTAAAAATTGCTTCGCGCCGGTCCTCTGTCCATAGCCCCTTTGTAACATTTTTTTTTATTAAGATTACATAAATACGTTTTTTTTTTAATTATTTATGTATAACTGTTTCCATAAATATAGTATTTTTAAAGATTCTCTTTTATGTTAATTTAAATTAGTGTTAAATCTAGTTCACTTTATTCTTTTTAATCTTTTAAATGAATGTGCAATGTCGACAAAAGGCTTTGTGAAAATTGCATGACCGCATAGCATTGATGTCAAAAACTTTACCTGGTGGGCATTTCATAAATTCTAAATTTTAAGTGTTTAATGCTTCATACAGAAACTTCTGAATTTGAATTTCTAAAAACAGATAATTGATGGCTGAAAGTAACATTTCTCAATTTGAACATTTTAAATTTGAACATACAGGTGCAAACCAAAATATTATTACAATTACATGAAAATTAAAGGCTTTCACAGACGAGTTAGAACTGTGCACCAGGAATGTTAAAAACTCACAATTTGATTGCTTCCCAGGCGTAGACGGTTTTCCCAACAAATTTAAAATTTTGTCAGAAGAGCGGAAGACAGTAGAATACTTCTCTATATCATTTTCTATTTTAAATCACTTGATTATCAAATGCATTTCTCAAAATGAATTGCATCCTTCTAACTAATCAAATTATTATCTATATTGAATGTTTTGTAAAATAATGTTCTTGAAGAATTTATATATTTTTATTGATAACTATATATAACATTTTCTTGAAATTTTTATTTGGTGTGCCGCGAAATAAATTCTCTTTGCCTAGTAGGCCGTGAGTTAAAAACGTTTGACAGACCTCTATTGCAGTGTCTGTCAAACTTTAAAATAATATTTGGTTAATGCCAAAGAGGTACGATAGCGCATTTTTTTTTTGCACACTTAATCTTGTGCGCCCCTGTCTATTGTAACCCACTGCATCTCGATAAACAATTTTATATTTTTGTACAATTTCCAAGACTGGCGCTAAAACGTATGCCGCTTGATTTTGCCAACCATCCACTTTAGCAAAAATCGCAAAACGCAAAATCTTAAACAATAATTGTAATGTCTTTGTTTATAAAATAGATATTTATAGAATTAAAAACAGAAATACATAGAAATCATTCAATAGCCCTTTGAAGCAGTTGACTTCTTTTTGATTTATGAAATTTATATTCTTGTATAGAGCTTTTTTTGTAATTTTCTGTTTCAATAAATATTGTTATTATTTTAGAAATTAATGCAATTTTTGGAACTGACAATTTATTTTCTTCTAATGTTTTTTTCATAAAATTACATAAAATATAAGTTAAAATGTACTCCTATTATTTTCAGTATTAAAAAACCTAATGACCTCCTTTATATTAGGTCCTAAAATGTTTTTCCAAAGAGAGAATTACATCTTTCCAAATTCCGTATCACTCGGAATCCAAATATCTTTCTCAAAATCAAGTATCTCACGTATAACCTATTCGAATTCCTAATTAATATTTTCGGGCGGAAAGACCTTGGTCGATAGTACTTTGGAAAGTTTTATTTAATTATAGAAATTTAACTTTATTTTGGCGGAAAGACTTAGGTCGATAGCCCTTTGGTTACAAAAACTTTATTTAGTTATAATATATTAAATATTTTTAATTAAGTTATATTATTTTTTACGTAATTCTGTCTATTACTATTATTTTAAAAATATTTAGCAGTACGGTTTATTTACATTCTGGGGTTCCCAACCTTTTTTCTAAATTTTGTAAATTTTAATGCACAAAGCAACATAACATTTTTTTTTAAACAATTTTAGAGCTTCCCTTGACTTATATATTATAATTATAAAAAATCATTTTAAAGTAACATACATATTAATCAGAAATAATAATCATCTTTAATATATTTCAATCAGTTATTCTTACAAGAATTAATCAATATCGACTGAGTCTCATTCAAATGATTTTAAAATTCAATTTTCTAAATCATATATATCTTTATTTTTTCAATTAGTAGAATAGACAGCTACATTATTTTTTTTTGTGCTAACGTTTTAAATATTGAAAATCATTTCGATTTAATGTAGATTGCAAATCAATTTTACAGCAAAATAAAAATATTCAACAATATTCACATATTTCATAGTCATTTTGTGTACATAAATGGTGATTTTATTTAAATATAATTATTAGGAACATTATTGGGTCATATACTTGATTTTAATATATAATAGATTTTTGTAATACATGCTTAATCTTGTCATGTTTTCTTTCTTATATTTTTGGAAATGTCTTAGATATACTTCTATTTTCATTCTGGTGTCAGAATTGAATCATGTATTTTTTTTATTAAGATATTTATATCAATTCTACCCCATTGGGGTTTATCGGCACCCACAATTTTTTGTTAGTTTTTGAGGATCGAACCAATTTTTTCCTATTGGATAATCATTTACTTATCACATAAAATTTCTCTAAAAAAAAGCTATATGCAACCAACTACACAATTGCCTTACAAAACAAACCTATATGCCGTTCTTTGTAATTTTACAAATGGAATGAATTTATCACCAGCCACATATGCTTTATCACTTTGATTGCATCCGAATCTTTTGAATGAAATTGTAATGAGTGTGCGCATAATTGATTCCACCTGATTTAGATAAGAGCAGTTCTAATTGGAGTCCGAATCGGTGCGCGCAGGCGCCGGCAGAGGGCGCGCCGCCGGCGATGCTCAGATATCTAACCGGGATGTGTTATTGAAAAAATTGACAGTTCTGCGCGTGCCGTCGTAGCGGCAGGTCGAATTTGTGTTGCTTGTTTGTTTCAAAATGGCGTTCAATGGAGATGGGCCCCATAACAAAAGGCAGAGGACTGAAGTGGACGCTGTTAACAACAGGGTGAGCATTTCCGGGAGGGTCACAGGGCGTAGCGAGTCGTTTCCGGCCGATGCCGGGGCCCACTTTCAGTCAGGATTTGGGTCCACACGGTGTTTCAGGGGGGGGGCGCACAACCATCTCCCAGCGCGGTACGGTGATCCCCCTTTTAACGCCGTAAACAATTATTAATTCCAATCACGAGTGCATTCAAAACAAACGGACGCCAATTCCGAAAGTATACAAACATGCCGCGACATTATCCTCTTAATAATTATCCTCCGCTTGTTGTCAAATAGTTGATCATTGTTTTCGTCGCTGTCTCGGCACACTTGTTTTGTTTGGGTTCTCCGCCTCAATTCGTTGTTGCTCCACGCAAATGAAAAACACAAACCGATCGGTATAACTAATTAACGAGAAAAGAAAAAAAATAAAGTATTTACTCCTACAGTAATTGCTATTTGCTTTTCTATATCTGCATGTCTACTTGAATACCACTGTTTGTTTTTTGTTGTTGTTCATTCTTTCTTTTTCCTATTTTCCTTCGTGCGAGAGCGAAAAGTCTAATTGCATTGTCACATGCAAGCTAACCATAATGCGTTTTTCTTGTTGACAAATTCCATTTGGAGGTGGCACAGGCTTCTTTCTATACGATGACCTACCAAGGACGCGAATGCACCTAACAAGATTGTGTGCATGGCTACTTCTTCAGATCAAGTTTGAGAATTTCTCCTCTCCGCCACCGTTTTTTCTTTTTATCTTCTCTTCTTGCTTTATTTACACCTATAACTTATCGAGATCACGCAACAAAATCCCAACCGGTTTTATAATTGTAGAGCCTTACTTTAGGTTTCTTGCACTCGTTATTGCAAACTCACGTAACCGAATTGGATCATCATCATGAAGATATACGATTTAATATTATTATTTATGTTGTCATGAAATTATTGTCGAAGTGCAGTATAATTGGATTTCGTACTTATGGACGATTTTTTCAATAAGTGATAGCGCGTTTTATTCACTAGTTTGCAAAAGTTTAATAAATATAT